GGGTGTGGACCCGCCCGCCTTGTTGGCAGTCGTTGAGACAACCTTCAGTGATGTAGACTTCCCCATTGTAAAACAGTGAAATGCCGTTGAATTGATAAAAACTTCAGCAAGTTCTACATAGACTCTGGTACTTAGACTACGAAGACCGTTTGCAAGTTCCGATCGGTTCGGTGCTTTTCGTTTTTCGTGTTTTCTTTTTCTATCTCAAATTCCTTTTCCATTCTTTCTCCAAACCTTTGGCCGACTACCCCGACCCCCGTTCCCGGCCGTTCCTGTCCAGGGCAGTACTGGACCAAGCTGCAAAAACGTGTATTTGAAGACTTTCCAAATAACGAATTTACATGTTTTCGCGCAAGCGTTGTGATCTTAACCACCCGGTAAGAGCGACCCAAATGTTGTTGGCCGGCCACGCGCCTGCCAGGAGTGACTATTTGGGAAAAGGCAGTTACTCAATTGGTTGAGGAGGTGGCATTTGAAGTATTTAGGGAATTCACAAAGATGACACAGGTGAAACGGCCCAAAGAATAGGCCCAAGGTATTGGGACTCTAGCTCCTTTGGTTGAGTACAGAACTAGACCTTAGTCATCAGGTCCACGTATCTACAGACATCTATAATTCTCCCTTTCACTCTTCTGTAAAGCTTGGGTTACTTTTCAAATAGCCAGAGGCTTTTACTGAAGAGATATACTCTGCAGAGTCACATCAAACTACTAAAGTTGCATTTGCTCAGCATTTGACTTTGTTTCATGTTGATTGAGCCACTAGAACTGACGATAAAGCATTATGACCGCTACTGCAACAAACTTGCCATTCATACAGAAATCGTATTCAATCTTCCTGAAGAAAGTGGTGATGAAAGCAAGCCAAAAGTTCTACTTCACCTTGGCAAGAACAAAAATCTCAGACCTACTATCATCCTTTCAGGATGTTGATTGCATTTTACAATGATTGTTCTCAATGGACCTGACAAAAATAAATGAAAGTAGATGAATAGACTTGAAGCCTATAGTGCGACTGCTATTTCACAAGAAGATAAAGATCAATTCAGGTAAAACAACGTGCAGTGAGAAAAGCGATCGTTGATCACTTTTCCACGCAAATCTCTAGAATTATCGCAGAACGCTGATGACCCAGCATTCTCTTTACTAAATCACTGGCGTGTAACGGTTCATGCACGTGCAACGCGTGCAAGGCACAGGCTACACTTCAACCTGGTAATCCTATAGGTCGAGTCACGAGTCCCGTTCCTATTAGAATTCTGTCACTCCCCAAATGGGACAAAGTGAGAGGACCTATTCCTCTTGATCAGCAGTATCACCAGACCAGAACATTAGAGTCCGTAATAGTGGCCAGATTTGCTGATGGCCCCAATGCTTGCTGAGAATATCAGCGGGGTTGAGAACACTGTCAATGTGAATAAACGATAACATGTTAAATGCTACTTCTTCTCTCACACGGTGGAATGATAATGCAACATGTCGCTTGTGTAGAACATGTCGCTTGTGTAGCTTTGCTTCAGGTCGGGAAGAACTGTTCACAACAGATTCATTATCACCAAACATGTAGCTTCGACCTTTGACTGGCACACCAAGGTACCTCAGGGTCTGCCGAAGGTCCATAATCTGTTCAACACAGGTTCGGGCAGCCACAAACTCAGAACCATAAGTAGCAGTCTCAACGGTTGACTGCTTCTTTGAAAAGAAATCGATTGGAGTCCCATTCATCATGTGAATGATACCCGTAACCGACCGGCCTGTCAAAAGACAGTGGTAGAGATTTGCATCCACATAGTGAGTGAGGATGACTGCAAGCCCAAGTGGGGGAGGTGCATCTCTCGGAATTTCTTCAGTTGGACAGCCATATACAGAGTCGGCCCAATCAAATGCAGGTTCCGGGACATCACTGTAATCGGGTAGTCCAGTGCGGAAACGGATACAAGCTTCCTTGAACTTTACTAGATAGCCACAAACCCGCTTTGCACGGTTCAAATGACCAACTCTGGGTGCTGATCTAAAACTCGACAGAGTCATTACCGCGGTAGTGACATCCAGTCTTCCTAAAGAGACTGCCCATTGGAACTGACCAACCAACGATTGATACTGAGTGACTCCTTCAGAGTCAAGTAACTCGGATGTATCGCATTCTGGATGATCTCCCTTCTCCAACGGTGACCACACGTTGGTCTTTGGCCTTTGACCAAACATGCGTTGGTAGCTATCTACCATGCGGTCAATGTACTTCTTTGGGTGCATGCAAAGTACCCCATGCTTGTCCCTGTAGAAGTCACATCCAAGGTGGAACTCAAGTGGTCCTGTGCCCTTCAGCTTGAACTTGTAGACTTTGATCAGTTTGTCTACAAAAGCTTGTGGGTCTTTCATTGCCATTGCTAGGTCGTCAACATACACTCCCACATACTCGTAAGAGGACCCGTCAGTAGTTGGCCTCATCCAAATATCTGGCTCTGCCTTGCAAGGAAAGAATCCTTCTTCCTCTAGACATGCTGAAAACCTCTGATGCCACATTTTTCCGCTCAAACGTAATCCGTACAAAGCTCTTGACACAATAAGAGTGTGGCCTTGAAGTGGTCCAAACTCTGGTCCGGCTATAATTGCTACCTTCTCCTTAGTGTAGGCTTCGAGGTAGGCGTTACCAATATCGGTAGCCCATAGTTCCAGTCCATTCAGTTCAGCTAGAAAAATCATCATCTTCAAGCCTCGAATTGAAACAACACCAGAGTAGACACTATCCAGTGGTACATCGGTCAGGTGTCCGTCGGCTACGAGTCTTGCTTTATGTCTGCCATCATGTTTGCAGGCATAGACTAAGTGGACTCGAATCTTTTGGTATCCTTTTGGTATTGGGGTTCCCCTCCCCAAATCAATGAAGACCTTGTAATCGGCAAGCTGATCCATCTTGACTTTAGTGGCATCCTGCCATTTGGTGTTGCCGTGGAGCTTGCCAAGTCGAAGGGCATCTTTGTAGTCCTTCGGGATCTCGAATCCGTACATGTATCTTGGTGCTGTACGGAACAATCTGAGCTTGGCTTGGTTAATAAGGCGAAGAAGTTTCTTCTCCTTCTTTGCTATACTTCTAAAGCGTTTCCAACCAGATAAACCCAGTAGATTGTTCTCTCTAGCGTATATAGCACATGCCACTGGGTCATCGGCTCCAATGATGCTTGGGAGTGATCTCCCCATTCTCCCATTCAATGGTTACGTTGTAGGTCGAACCCATGTAGGATGGATGGTCAGGTCGAAGTGGTCCCTGATGGGAGATGATTCGCTTGAACTTCCAAACTATCGGGTTCTCCAGATCGGCTTCCAAACGCTCTAGGATCTCGTTGTATGCCATGATATCATCGTATTCACCTTTGTTAATGCTCACACGAAAACGAATATGTTCAGGCTTGTTGGTCGTGTTGTGCTCATGCTTGTCAATAAGCTCAACAATCTCAGCACGTCTGACATAGCCTTCTTTATCTGGTTTAAGAAGGAATGTTCGACCAATGAGATCACTGTTTTCCACAAGAACGTCTTCAGAGTCTGATTCGTCGTCACTGGAATAAACAATGGTTTGAACTTTAGTCTTGTCGTTTCTGGATTTGATTATTGTAGGGGCTGACAAGTCCTCCCCATCAGATGTATGAAGACGTTTGTTGGGATCAGTGTCAGTTGAAGCAGAGCGGATTTCCGAACGAAACAATATTTTATTCGTTTCTGGGTTCAGGATCTTGTAGGTCATGGCATGACCAACGTGCTCAGCAATGCCTACCATGTAACCAAGGGACTCCGGAGAGTCAGAAGGGAAGGCCGGTTCTTCCGTTTTATAGTATACCTTTTCATAAAAGTGGAAACGAAGGAGTACACTAATATCTGGGGTGATACCGGTCAGCGCTTGGATTGGAGTCATCCATCCAAGGCCCTTGACAGCAGTATAGTTGTAGACAAAAGATGCATAGCGAAGGGCTAGGAGCCATAGAGTAGGAGGTGCTCCGGTGCGGTCCAGAATCCTGTTGGCTAATCGTTTAACATCTTGGTATCTTCGTTCGGCTGGGTTCTGGTTCTGGCGATGCGGTTCGCTTTGCCAGTCATCGATGCATAGCCAACGGAGGTAGTCTTTCACTGCTTTGGAAACTTGTGCTTGAGCCCGATCGCTCACAAGTTTGGATGGTGCTCCTCGCTTCCGTACGTTGTCCTGTAATGTCTGGAGAAATTGAGCATCCGAAGTGACACCATAGACGTCGCTAACAAGAGTTTCCACTTTTATGAAAAGGTATACTAGAAAACGGAAGAACCGGCCTTCCCTTCTGACTCTCCGGAGTCCCTTGGTTACATGGTAGGCATTGCTGAGCATGTTGGTCATGCCATGACCTACAAGATCCTGAACCCAGAAACGAATAAAATATTGTTTCGTTCAGAAATCCGCTCTGCTTCAACTGAAACTGATCCCAACCAACGTCTTCATACATCTGATGGGGAGGACTTGTCAGCCCCTACAATAATCAAATCCAGAAACGACAAGACTAAAGTTCAATTCAGGTAAAACAACATGCAGTGAGAAAAGCGATTGTTGATCACTTTTCCACGCAAATCTCTAGAATTATTGCAGAACGCTGATGACTCAGCATTCTCTTTACTAAATCACTGGCGTGTAGCGGTTCATGCACCTGCAACGCGTGCAAGGCACAGGCTACACTTCAACCTGGTAATCCTACAGGTCGAGTCACGAGTCCCGTTCCTATTAGAATTCTGTCAGGACCATTCCAGGCAATGGTGTGCGGATTGATGATCTCTTTCATCTACATCTTTGTGGTCAGCCTTTGAATGCAACAAAAGTGATATTGCAAACAATGCACTGAATCAACGTGTTGGAAAAGTCAACACTCAAATGACACGTTTATATTATCAATATGTCAGCTGGAAAATCTCAGACAAACAGCACAAGCAGCTTCTGCAATCACAAGCAAGCCAAAAACTCATGTTTCCCAACAAATCAGGCAAATTCAAGTTCTTTGCTTTTATCATAACATGATTCTGAGAACATCAGAGCTGCTGTGTACAATTCTGAAATCTGTCAATTGGTCAACAAGTAACTCCAGGTGTGAAATTGACAAAAAGGTATTTGAAATCAACAAAACGTAATTGAAACTGTCCGATGGACTTGCTCTACTGTTAGAATAAAGCAAAATGTGCTCTATCGTGAGTGCCTTTAGCGCTCAGAACAAACTCTCTGCAATCTAAATTTGTAATTGACTGTACAACACTTTCACAACAATAGTTCTCCTGTGTCTAGGTATACTTTGATTGAAATTGTTCCTATTTGATTCATAGTTGGCTTGAATTGATGATTCAATCACAAAAGTAAGTTCAACGATTTTCGCTTGGAAAATCCCTTGTTTACAGAACTTGATTTGACCTCTACGACAATTCTGTGTTGGATGCAGTACTTTGTGACATCTTGTATTATTCCCTACTGCATTGTACACAACATCGATATCTCACTTGTATAGGGTCATTCCCTTTTTGTGTGGATGTAGATTGTCCAACAGACTTGCATCCGGCATACTTGCGTCAAATCCTGACATCACGATCAAAGTCCGATCGTACGTGTTGAAAACTGTGTACTTGAATAGTTTCTTTTTGGAACGTAAAAACTCATATTTTGTCATATCCCAACACACTCCTGCCATTGTGACAATCACCATTGGCAGCAATGGGACATGCTCCCATTCACTTTTTATTTTTGTTTTGTATTTTCATTTTGAACATATACATACTTGTCTGACCTAGTCCTGTGTACCAAGAATCAGATCCCTCAACTTGCGAAACTTCTCACCTTGCAATGGCTTAGTCATGAAATCCGCAATCATATCGTCAGTTGGACAGTATTCGATCTTAACATTTCCTTTCTCAACTTGATCTGTGGTAAAGAAATAACGAATATTGATGGCTCTGCTTCTTTTGCCCGCGCTCTTGCGACCATTCTCTTCCAGTAGAATCGCGCTTTTATTATCCTGATACAAGATATTCTTCTCGATCGGATACCCTTGCCACTCCATGAACAACTTCGTCCATAGTATC